ATCAAAGAAGACAAGCAGGTCGCAAGTGTTGTTAAATCTTTGAATGAGAAACCTTTTTACAATGTTGTCTTAGTAGATTCTCGGAGCCTACTAGCTGATTGTCGACTTTCCCCTACAAAAGAGTGGATCTGTGACTGTTGCGGAGATCCCTTTAAGAAGACATATTTCAATCGCCCCCGCCCCCCCCGCACTCCCCTTACCAGTCCCGGCGTTGCAGTTTATCGATCAGCAAGGAAATCACCATCTCTACCACCAAGTCAACCAACAATATCATCACCTCCAACCCCTTAAAACGCTTTTAGCTAATGTTTATTAAGATAACTTTCAGAATTCAAATGACTAGTATCATCACATCACTCATCACTCATGTGAATATCTTTGAATCATCAAAACTAGAGACTAGCCGAAAAATGAAACCTTTCTTGGTTGCAATCTGACTTTCTTCCTCCAATTGGTTTATCCTCTTTAACAATTCATCTTTCTCATTTTTTAGCTACAAAGACGATACAATACAATCGGGTGAATTAACTTTCATAATATGAAACTGAAACCAATGGCAACCAAATTTTTTAGCTTCCCTAAAGAGGCCATATGTCCTTATGTTTTGCTTCTTTTGTTATAGAAGATAGTCCAAGATTATCCTGTGGACTAAACCAGTTACATTCTGCTAGAAAATCAGAGAAGATAGTATACTTCTTCAAAATTATAGAAGATAGTCCATGAATTTCTTGTGACAATAAGCTAAAACCTCTTCAAAGTCATCAACATATAAGACTTAAATATCTCCAGGAAATAAAAAAGATATCAAGATCCCGAACCACTGCTTCTAAATCCGTTTGCAAACTTTCATTGTGAGGGAAAGCATCAATGACGAGTTCAACGACTCTTTTAATAGCTTTATCTCTCTCAAAGCTGTGAAATTTACTCCTTCCTTTTGGTTTTAAAAAAAAATGTTGGTAGTTTCTTGATTTCGAAAGGCGAAGAGCGCTGATGAAACCCTAGTGGCGTGAGATGCCAGGTTCGTCTTATTTTTTTTTTTTGATGTTCTTTTGTCAAACGGGCCACAAACTCGCGGGCTTGGCCCAAAAAGAATCATCACAGGGTGGGCTTGAATAATAATACCTATGTCCATCAAATAGCGGGCTTGAACGCTGGCCCGCGAAACAACTAGAATATTTTGCTGAAACCTTCTGTTTCGTCTAGAGGATTTCAAACTACAACTCTAATTTTTAACTAAACGTCTATACTCTATACCTAAAATTCGTCGGAGGAAGTTGACGATTTCATACCAAAGTTTTGATTCTAAGTTAAATTTTTATGTAGGAGAACGAAAAAAAACGCGATATTGGAAGGAATAGAGTTTCTGTACTAGGAATTTTACTCTCGAGTCTTGGCATACGAAAGTTTGTTTAGCAATAGATGAAGTTAAGGAAGTTATTAAGGTGTAGCCAGCAAACTCATTAATTTTTGATTGATTCTATCTTTCATTAGTTGGGGATGTAGAAAGTGCGATACTGTTGTAAGACACAATCTCAATCTGACACCATTAGGTTTGAAGTAAATCCTGCAAATGGAAAGTGACTTGCGAGTGGTAATATAGATAATGTTCAGAACATGTTTTCTCTCTGCTTTTTCAATACAAAAATACATTTTTGCAAGTATTAAAAGTGTTTTAAATAGTGATCATACACATACTAACTAAGTAGCTCGTAGAGAGAAGTTATGGGGACTGACCAATGGCGGACCCAAAGATGCTTGAAGGAGGTCAGTTGACCCACCTAAAATTCTAAATTTGCATTATAGTCCTTTAATATTTATGATATTATTTATATTTTTTCTGTTTTGACCCCCTTAAAATTACAAATTTGTGTTTAAACCTTTTAAGTTTTCTAATATTTTTCTACTACTTTGTGTTTGGCACTATTTCTCACATATTTTTTAGTTTTTTTGTTTGCTTCACCCATAAATATTAAACCTATTTGTGATTTATTTTTAAAAAAAATGTTGTTTGTTTTTAGTTTTTCTTAAAAAAAAAATTTATTAATTATTGTCATACATTTTGACCCCGGTAAAAAAACTTTCTGGGTCTGCCACTGGGACTGATTGTATCAAATTAGTTGGACCATGTTTTATGTCCGTGATGGTCGGACTCAGAAACAGAGTGGTGATGTGAAGATGACATGTTTATGGTCCCATTTTCACTTTTATTGGGTCGTGTTTCACCTTTCAAATGGACCACTAGAAAATTGAAACAACTTTCTTTTCTCTAATACCAATTTCAAACCCAAAAAAAAAAAAGATGACTTTGTTGAGACCTTTGTCTTGTTTTTTTTTGCTTCATCAAGCGTCGCTTTCGCAACATATTCTCTCCATTATTATATGAATTCAAAAGAAGCAAAACATATCACTGCCTAAACCTTAACTTTGTGCTTCAGTCTTTCCTAAAATAATAGTTAACTTTCATATTCCTAAATGTACTAAAATCAACTATGGTTGTTGAGCTTTATTATTCTTCCGTTTAAGCTTGGTTCCAAAGAAAAAAAAATGGTATAATCATTCCATGCATATACTGATATACGTAATACTAATCATAGTTATCTTTTTGGTGAGTAAAGAGATTTGAATCAAGATTGTGTGTTGGTATTAAGAATCCTTATAGAGATGTGCATTTAAGGAGACAAAAAGGAACACAACACGAGACGATGCGGTTAGAGAATAAACAAAACAAAAAAGCTTGATAATGGATACAACGTGATTCTATAGTTAAACAACTTTGCTTTTGGCTTTGGATTCTTCTCTATTTAACTCTTAACCCAATGTTATCTCATTATTCTTCATCACAATCTATTTTTCTATTTACTTTTTATTTCTATTTTCAAGACAAAGTTTAATTTTTTTTTTAAAGATTGGAAGTAGGGAAGAGAGTAAAAAAGAAGTGTAAAATCAATAAACGAATCTCCTTAAGCACCTACTTCCCACAACTTTCTTAAAGTTTCTTACATAAAGCTCCCCTTCACACGTGCTTACCAAATCAGATTTGTCAATAATTCTATAACTTCTTTGCTCAATAATTTTCCGAATTTTTATTTTAGAACTATTGACGTTTGATATGATATTTTGCTTAAAAAATGTTAATTATTCTCCCTATCCATGTCTAAAAGGAAGATTACAGAACAATTGTATGTTTGAATCCATATTTAATTAGTCGTCCATTTTACATGAAATAATTTAAATTTGAAGCTTTAAATATTTATACAGTTGAAACGAGAATGCAGAAATGATTATAGATAGATCAGTGACAGTGAACAGGACTGTAGCAACTGGCAAAGAAACCTCGTTAGCTGGACTAGTATGCAACTACGATCATGCCCCTAGACTCCTCCCTTTAGACGGCTGCATTAATGACGACGAACCAGAGGGTGTTTTCGTCATTTCGATTTATCACAAAACCGACAATTTCTGGTTAGGACTCGAAGGGTGATTCGGTCAATTCACTGCAACGGAACGAGCAGACCATTCAAGTTCAGAGAGCTGTTTTAGTGTTTAGAGTTATTTTTATGCATGTGTTTTTTCTCAATGGCACAGAAGTAATTACGAAGATGTTCCATGGTGAAGAATGTGTCCAGTCAAACCAATAGTTGACCAAAACTTTCGGTTAATTTCCCTACCACCAGCAAAATTATTACTTTTTAATAATTATCAATCATTTTCATTTTTCAGTCTCTTTTTATTTTTCTTTCAGCACTTTTTTTTTTTTATCAAAGTTCTTTTTCTATTAAAGTCTGTCTTTTTACACTTTCATCTAGCTTTTCATAACTTTTATATTTGTATTTTGCTCAACTTTTATAAATATTATTATGTTTCAGAGATGAATTTTATTATATGGTCTGAATTCGTATGTATGATAATATACTACAATGTACTTCGTTTTTCTTTCCTTCTTTTACATATCGACCAAATCAAATAAATACGACCCCATTGTTAATGCAAAAAGGCACAAGTACAAAAAAAACATAATAATTCACTATTTTATTTTCAGACACATGGGCCCAAATCTTACGGCCCAATTACCATAAACCTCTCTTTTAAAAGGTGGGTTCCACAGTGGTAAACCTTTTGACTATCCATTGGAGTGATTGTCATCTGGACCGTTCATCTAAATTAATTATTGGGTTTTTCGCTTTAGAGCATCATTAACTTATTACGAACTATGGGATTAAATTACCAATAACAATCTTTTTAGCTTTTGTCGTTTTCCGATAAAACCATAGGTTTAAGAATATGGACATGTCCTTTTTTTTGTATTTTTGACTCATTTTGTTGGATGAACAATTATCCTGTGGCTGTCAAAAAAAATTACTCTATTTATTTACATTGCCACTTTAGAGGTAAATATGTCCATGTTTTTGATTGAGAAAAACACACAGGATTATTTAGAAATGTATATAAAAACATGTAGTCGTATGAAATGAGAAATTAAAGGAAATTTGTCAAGACTTGAGAACATCACCTTTCAAATGTTTCAAGAACAACATGACTCCAAAACAAAATAAATGAACCTTTCCTAATAATAGTATATTCTCCATCGTACAAAGTTATAAATAATACAATATTCATTTCGTCAAAGTATATTGGTTAGAATTGTATCTAAATTGTATAGTTACGCTGTTTTATTTTAATTTCAAAAGACTTATCTATTAGTATCAGACTATTAGTGAAATAATTAGACCATAATACTATTTTTACTTCTTTTTTTTCATATCCTTTTTCTGCAATCTATCACTTCATTGTTTTATCAAATCAGCACTAGAATTATTGATTTGTAATTTGTGTTTATCTACCTCCAATTACTTTTTAGTTTTATGATTACAGTAATGTAATAAAATCACAAATCTGACGTGGCACCTATCTTCAATTCCAAAAACGAAATAAAAGAATATTCAAAAAATAAAGCAAAAATATGAAACCAATATAAAACAAATTCACACCTTCCTCATCTTCTTCTTCTTCACTTACCTTCTCGACACTCACACCATCTCACAACCCTAATCTCTCACACACAAAAGAGAGAGATAGAGATAAACAATGAAACTTTTTCTGCTCCTTCTATTTCTTCTCCACATTTCTCATACCTTCACCACAAGCCGACCAATCTCCGAGTTCCGTGCTCTTCTCTCACTCAAATCCTCTCTCACCGGCGCCGGAGATGACATAAACTCGCCTCTCTCCTCATGGAAAGTCTCAACTAGCTTCTGTACATGGACTGGTGTCACGTGCGATGTCTCTCGCCGGCACGTGACTTCTCTCGATCTCTCTGGTCTCAACCTCTCCGGTACTCTTTCTCCAGATGTTTCTCATTTACGTCTTCTTCAGAATCTATCCCTCGCTGATAATCAGATCTCCGGTCCGATTCCGCCGGAAATCTCGAGCCTTTCCGGTCTTCGTCACTTAAATCTCTCAAACAATGTCTTCAACGGTTCGTTTCCCGATGAGATTTCATCTGGATTAGTGAATCTCCGAGTTCTTGATGTCTACAACAACAATCTAACCGGAGATTTACCTGTTTCCGTCACCAATCTGACTCAGCTCCGGCATCTTCACCTGGGTGGGAACTACTTCGCTGAAAAGATCCCGCCTTCGTACGGTAGCTGGCCAGTTATTGAGTACTTAGCTGTTTCCGGCAACGAGCTCGTCGGAAAAATCCCTCCAGAGATCGGAAACCTAAAGACTCTCCGGGAGCTTTACATCGGCTACTACAACGCTTTCGAAGACGGTCTTCCTCCAGAGATCGGAAATTTATCGGAGCTAGTCAGATTCGACGCCGCTAATTGCGGATTAACCGGTGAGATTCCGCCGGAGATCGGGAAGCTTCAGAAACTCGATACGCTTTTCTTGCAAGTGAATGTCTTCTCCGGTTCGTTAACTTGGGAGCTAGGAACGCTTTCGAGTTTGAAATCAATGGATTTGTCTAACAACATGTTCACCGGAGAGATTCCAGCGAGTTTCGCAGAGTTGAAGAATCTCACGCTTTTGAATCTCTTCAGAAACAAACTCCACGGCGAGATACCGGAGTTCATCGGAGACTTGCCGGAGCTTGAAGTGTTACAGCTTTGGGAGAACAATTTCACCGGAACCATCCCGCAGAAATTGGGGGAGAACGGTAAACTCAATCTTGTCGATCTCTCTTCCAATAAGCTCACCGGAACTTTACCGCCGAACATGTGCTCCGGTAACAAGTTAGAAACTTTAATCACTCTTGGAAACTTTCTCTTTGGTTCAATCCCTGATTCTCTTGGCAAATGTGAGTCTTTGACCCGGATCCGAATGGGTGAGAATTTCCTAAACGGGTCAATCCCTAAAGGACTATTCGGATTACCCAAATTAACTCAAGTGGAGCTCCAAGATAATTATCTCTCCGGAGAGTTACCGGTTGCCGGAGGTGTCTCCGTCAATCTAGGTCAGATCAGTTTATCAAACAATCAGCTCTCAGGTCCATTACCTCCGGCGATAGGAAACTTCACCGGCGTTCAGAAACTTCTTCTTGATGGAAACAAGTTCGAAGGTCCGATTCCTTCGGAGGTAGGGAAGCTTCAGCAGCTCTCGAAGATTGATTTCAGCCACAACTTGTTCTCCGGTCGTATCGCGCCGGAGATCAGCCGATGCAAGCTCTTAACTTTTGTTGATCTGAGTAGAAACGAGCTCTCCGGTGAAATCCCAAATGAGATCACTGGTATGAAGATATTGAATTACTTGAATCTGTCGAGAAACAATCTGGTTGGATCAATCCCCGGTTCGATCTCGTCAATGCAGAGCTTAACATCACTTGATTTCTCTTACAACAATCTCTCCGGTTTGGTTCCGGGCACTGGACAATTCAGTTACTTCAACTACACATCGTTCTTGGGTAATCCTGATCTCTGTGGTCCTTATCTTGGTCCTTGTAAAGATGGTGTTGCTAAAGGAGCTCACCAGAGTCATAGTAAAGGACCTTTATCAGCTTCTATGAAGCTATTGCTCGTCCTTGGACTACTCATTTGTTCGATTGCATTCGCGGTAGTAGCTATTATCAAAGCTAGATCATTGAAAAAGGCGAGCGAGTCACGGGCTTGGAGGTTAACAGCATTCCAGAGACTAGACTTCACATGTGACGATGTCTTGGATTCTCTCAAAGAAGACAACATTATAGGCAAAGGAGGAGCTGGTATTGTCTATAAAGGCGTAATGCCTAATGGTGATCTAGTCGCGGTCAAAAGACTCGCTGCAATGTCCCGTGGATCTTCCCATGATCACGGATTCAACGCAGAGATTCAAACCTTAGGAAGGATAAGACACAGACACATAGTGAGGCTTCTCGGTTTTTGCTCTAACCACGAAACAAATCTACTAGTCTATGAGTACATGCCTAATGGTAGTCTCGGTGAGGTGCTTCACGGTAAGAAAGGAGGACACTTGCATTGGGATACACGTTACAAGATTGCTCTTGAAGCTGCTAAAGGGCTCTGTTATCTTCATCACGATTGTTCTCCATTGATTGTTCACAGAGATGTTAAATCAAACAACATCCTCCTCGATTCAAACTTTGAAGCTCATGTTGCTGACTTTGGTCTCGCTAAATTCCTTCAAGATTCCGGTACTTCTGAATGTATGTCTGCAATCGCTGGCTCTTACGGCTACATAGCTCCAGGTAACGGAAAAATCCTCAAAAACAGTTTCCAACTTCACAATTACTTGCTCTGTTTTTAAAACTTCAAAAAAGATTCGAACTTTACCATCTCTTGCTCTGTTTTTAAAATTGTTTTGGTGTTTTCTTGTTGTGTAGAGTATGCGTATACGTTGAAGGTAGATGAGAAGAGCGATGTGTATAGTTTCGGTGTGGTTCTTTTGGAACTCGTCACCGGAAGAAAACCTGTCGGAGAATTTGGTGACGGTGTCGACATTGTGCAATGGGTTCGTAAAATGACTGATTCGAACAAAGAATCGGTTCTGAAAGTATTGGATCCGAGACTTTCATCGATTCCGATTCATGAAGTGACGCACGTCTTCTATGTCGCGATGCTCTGTGTCGAAGAACAAGCCGTTGAGAGGCCGACTATGAGGGAAGTTGTTCAGATCCTCACTGAGATCCCGAAGTTGCCACCGCCGAAGGATCAGCCGACGACGGAATCAACGCCGGAGAATGAGCTTTCGCCGATGTCCGGTGCTCAAGGTCCGCCGGATCTACTCAACCTATGAGAGTTTTCCGATTTCCGGCGGTTAATTTAGGGTACCGGTATAAGGGGTAAATTTGTCATTTTCATAAATGTTTTTAGCGTTAAGAGAGATTTGGTTGTTAATTACTTATTTTATCCCAATTAGTCTGCTTTGTGCTTTGGTCCGGTTTAGTATTGTTTTAACTCTTTTTAAGTGTGTTTCATTTTCCTCGGCTCTTTTTTTAATCGGTTATTCGGCTTTATTTAGTTTGTAATTTGTATTAATGAAAATGTACAGTTGATTTTTTTTGAGGAAAAATTACTTTACGTAAGTATAATGTGGATACTCTTGCATGTCTTGCTGTAGCGTCACGCATCTTCAACTGATATGAACGATCGTCTTATAAACTATTTTTAGGTATTTGACTTTATTAAGAACCCTCGTAAATATTGAAAATTTCGATGTTACCGAAATTTGAAAACAAAGATTCAGAGTTCAGAGTAAAGAGATCAAAGCATGTGAGAGGTCAAAGGTATAAATGTGGTGGGGAGATAATGATTGTTTTTGAGTTAATATGAGAAGGTAAGAAAGTGAAAGCTCTCTCTCACTCACAAATATTTTCTCCCACATGCAAAATATATACCAAAGTCTCAAGTCTTTAATGATTTTGATGAGATCTCTCTGTCTATAAATTCTTTTCCCTTCTCATGAAGCAATTTCTACTCTATGTAAAGCATTTATGATTTCATCACGCTCATAAATATAAGCCACACCCAACTTACATTTATATGGTTTTCATTTACGTAGTTTCCAATGATGATTGTAGATCTTATAGATATATAGTCTAGGTTTCTATGAGAAAATTTGGACCAAACAAATAAAATTGTAGCTATCTTAGTGTTTGTTCACATTTTGGAGGTAATGGCCTACTTGATGGGCTAAGTGTTAGCTTCAATAGGGATTCCCACGGAACTCTATGATAACATATTGCACTAAATCGTGATTTAGTAGTTTACTCGTTAAGTTAGTGACATTTCCAAAATGCAACGGTCCTCCGTTGAAAAACATCCAAAAAGCGTCCTCCAATTAGCAAATTCCATTGCGTTTATGATTCTTTTACTACTATACTCCAAAACAAGTATGTGGCGGGTGAAAATATAACGTTTTTTTCACAAACAAACAAAAAGTGTTTAAATTTGTTTCCTTGATACACACATGCATTGCGTGTGTGATCACGATTTCATCACATAACAACAACTATTTTCCTTTTTACTGTGCGTCCATGGGATATTCATGTTTGATGGATCATAAAGGTAAAAAAAAACTGAGGAAAAACAATAGTTAATGTCATTTCATATCAGCTTTATATTCTCAGTTTCTCACATTATGCGTAATTTCCGGACAAAGAAAAGCTATTAATTAGAAACTTTCTTATCCCAAAGAATTTTCATCTGTGACAACTCATAAGCACTGAAAATTAGACTCCAATTTTCTAACTGTGTCTACGCTATAGACCTATCAGTTATATAGCACAGATAAATATCGGGTCTGATTGGTAACAAGCTGTTAGCTGTTAGCTGGAGCGGTTAGCTGGAGCTGTTAGCTGTTAGGGAATAGTGCAAAGCTGTTAGCTGTTAGAGAATAGTGCAAAGCTGTACAAAAGAATAAAACACGAAAGCTGTACAAAAAAATAACGCAGAACAAATTTTAAAAATTTACTCTGATTGGAAACATCCTAGCAGTACACATAATAAATAATATTAAGAATTTAGAAAGAAAAAAAATTACATAGAAATGTACTTTAGTATATAATTACATATGAAAATTAAGATTATATAGAATGAACAATATTTTATTGTTAGAATAATAATATGAATTTACTAGTCCTATAATAAATAAAAATTTTCTTCATTTTGAGCAATATAACATTCCAAAATAATTGTTTGAGAAAAAAACTATTATTTCTAATGATATTTTTTCATAGGTTGTATTATTTACTTTTTCAGAAATTTTTATCCGAACATTCGAGACTTTTTTTTTGCATTATACATAGTTACAATTATATTTTATAAAGTTTAATTATGCGGTTAATAATACGGTTAACCGTGCGGCTAATCGTACGGTTAAATAACGGTTTTGATACGTTTCCGGTATATTAACGGTTACGGTTAGTATATTTTTTTTAACCGTAACTAATCTAGTTTTACGGTGAATGGTTATGGTTTTTAACCGTTTTATACAGTTACGGTTGAAAAACGGTCCAGTTATGATCCAAAATACGGTTACGGTTAGCTTTTGGTCCAGTTACGATCCAAAATACGGTTACGGTTACGGACCGTTTCTCAACCGTAACCGTATAAAACGGTTAAAAACCGTAACCGTAAAAAATAGTTAGTTACAGTTAAAAAATATATTAACTGTAACCGTTAATTAACGGTAAACATATGAAAACCGTTATTTAACCATATGGTTAACCGCATAGTTAAAACTTTAAAGATATAATTGTAACTCCATATAATGCAAAAACAATTATCGAATATTCAGATTAAGATTTTCAAAAAAGTAAATGATACCGCATATGAAAAATCTACGTTATAAAAAAATGGTCTTTTTCTCAAACAAATATGTTATACTGTTATTTTGCTCGAAATGAAGAAAATTTGGTTTGTAACATACTTTTTGATTTTATGAAAAGTATTATAATAAGTTAGGTAACTCGTAAGATTTCGCCTCCGATATTAACCGTATTGTAGTCATTAAATAACTATAACCGTAATTATCCGTAATCGTATTTAACCGTAACCGTTATAACTGTATTTAAACGTAACCGTTATAACCGTATTTAATCGTAACCGTATTTAACCATAACCGTATTTAACCGTAACCGTTTTAATTTGTTTTTGTTTTTGTCCAAAAAAAACTGTTTATGTTATAATATACCGCTTTTCATAAAGTTTTTGTGATTGGTAACTGTCAAAACTGTACAAAGCTGTACAATTTTATTTTTGTTCACCAATCAATGCCATCAATTCAAACATTTTTATTGGTAAGTTTTAGGGGTGAAAAATGCCACGTGGAATTGATGATTGTGATGTGACAGAGACACGTAGAAAGAAGAAGGAGTGCACTGTGTTTTGAATGGGTCCGTTTTGTCTTTATCTTGGGTTTCATTGTTTTCCCCGACATAGTTATGTCCCATCCCTCGTAGTTGCTAAGAGAATCCTTACACCAAGGTAAAATACAATTACAAAATTTAGAAATTAAATTTATCAATGGATTTGATACGTGAAATGCCGGTAATAGTGTATACATTTGGTATTAGCCGCTCAATTTTCTTAAAAGATTTCAGAATTTAGTGTACGTAATTAGGTATCATTCATTAATTGTTGGACGTTATCACCAAAAAAAAAACTAATCTTCGTACCTGCTATCACTAACACTATATAATATACGAAAGTGTCTAATTATGTAAGATGATAATAGCGGCTTTACCTTTGATGATTCATGTACTAGACTACTAGTGACTGTTGTCTTGGCCCATTCCGTTTAAATTATGAAGTATTTGCATATAGATCCTTATATAATTAATGACTTGGGACATCAAGAATGGCCGATTGTTTATCCGTGACATATGACTGAACAAAGTTAGTATATGAAGTTGATTCATGGTACGTATGTCAAGAAAATGTGTGTGAGAAAATTATGTCATATCGTAACGTGGTGCTAGGTAGAGATTCGTCTTTATTTTTGTAATACTCATCGACGTAAACAAAATCATTTTGAGCTTTATAGTTTCACGAGTAATAATGTACTTATATATTACTCCCTCCGTTTCAATTTAGTTGTCGTTTTAGGATTTAAATTTCGTTTCATTTTATCGTTTTAGGTTTTCAATGCAAATGTTTGGTAAAAATTCCAGTTTTATCCCTACTGTTTTAATGTTTTTGCCAATGATTTTTTTTATAAAATATATTAATAAAGGGTAAAACAGAAAATTTAATGTTTTTTTAATTTGTGTGAAAAAACTTTAAACGACAACTAAAACGAAACGGAGAGAGTATGATGATTGCAGTACTTAAAAAAAAAAAATCTTAAAGAAAAAGAAGGAGATGATAGTAAATGTATATTTTACTTTTTATCATCGCAGATTAATAATATGGTATCAATTTTACTTTTTATTTTTGTTCAACTAATAATCATATGAAAAAAAAACTAATAATCATATGGTTCAATTTATAAAGAAATAATAGTGAGGTGACACTGAAAGGACAAAAAGAAGAAGAGACAATTGGTTAGTGCCACTTTTTCTATTTCTTTACATACATTTTCAAAAATCAAACGTGACAAACATTTCCATATGCTTCTGATCCCTTTGAATTTTAAGCACATACCTCTTAAAAATAATTAATTTAGAATTAGCTGTAAAGTTCACTTGCCACATTATTTATAAGATTAAAAACTAAAAGAATTAATTATTGTCTTAAATTTTGTGTTTTTAGGCAAAACATCATATATTTTGAAACAGAAGGAATATATATCAGCTTTTTGAAATCATCAAATTTGTTTACAGGTTAAAATCAATGTTATCATGAAATTTTAGCTATGAGCTGAATCTGCTGACCAATGGATGATAAATAAGATCGATGGCATATCACATTTTTAATCTGACTCTTTTATGGCTTGCAATGTAGTAATTATCACACATATTCGAAAAATTCGATTTATGAAGTAAAACTTTTTTTTAAAGCAAAGTTATAATTGCGAATCAAAAACTTTAGCATTCTTTCGCCTTTGGATTCCAGATTCCACCAATTAGTATCCTCCAAAAAGGGAAGACCCTGTCAACTTTGACACGTGAGTTCCCACACGTGTCTCGTAAACATTCTCCATAAACCGCACGATAAAATATAAAGCATCACGAGACTCATGATTGGGATTTCCTCAGGACACACGAGAACGTCCACACACCGAATCACTATTTGTTTTTATATGATTGTGTCTTTAACGTCCTTGTCGACGGATGCTCCTATTACACTCGTAGTCTCTGAAGGATGAGAACCAACTATGTAGCCCATTATTGTGTCACTAACGGATCTTTTACCCAACTCTGCATATATAAACGGATAAACCTTTAACATCAATATGATTCATATACATTTAGGCAAAGGATTTATGGGCCTTGGCTCGAACCAAATGTTGTTTTCTTAAAAGCTCAAAGATTATAATTGGGTCCTGAAGAGCCGAATCACTAAAATAATAATGGGCTTTACTTTCGAAAATTAAAGCCCAATATCTGGAGCAAGTTAAAACGCTGTGTTGTAAATAGATGACAAT